GGCTTACATAGCCATCGCCACAGTCTTGGTTTAGAACACTTTTATGTTGTGGAATATTAGTTTAAGATATGTTGCATTTGTTTATGCTGTGGATTATTTGTTTAGTGATGCAAAGACATGTTGCATTCTTTTATGTTGCATTTGTATAACTCTGTAAAGCTGTGTTGCTTTGCCTAAAATACCTGATTGGTCTAATAAAGAGCTGAATAGCCAATAGCAAAGCAGGAGAGAGAAATAGGTGGGGCCGGCAAGCAGAGATAACCAATAGGAGAAATCTAGGAAGAGGGAGGAGTGAGAAAAGGAGGCCAACCACACAGCCAGTAAGAAGGAAAGAGACACAGAATAAAGAAAGGTAAAAACCCAGGGGCAAAACATAGTTAAAGAGAAACAGGACGTTTTTAAGTTAGAAAAGTTGGTTAGAAACAAGCTAAGACCGGGCAATCATAAGTAAGAATAAGTCTTGTGTATTTATTTGGGAGCTGGGTGGTGGGCCCCTAAAGAGTAAAATAAACAAAGTGTACTTCCGCTCTTTACTCAAGTCCCTTGGGTTCTGCGTTCCCTTTCCCTGCAGCCACTAATGTGTTTCTAGATTCCCAGCTGCTTCTTGGCTGCTGGTCTGGTTCTTCCTCAGTTCGTCCTTCGCACTGTCTTGAGAGAGGTTCTTCTAAGATGGAAATCTAATGCAGGTCCCCTACTTCAGCTTGGGCTACTGCTGGCCCCTTTGGTGCTCTGGCTCTTTACCTCCTTGGCACTGCTTCCTCTGGTACTTGCCATTTCCTGAGTCTTCCTCACGCTCTAGTTAGTGCCCTCGCACCTGCTGCTCTCCCCTACCCGCCTGCCCAGTTCCACTCCCTTCCCTCCTGACTAACCAGCTAAGGTGCCATTGTTGCTGAATAGCTTTCCGGAGCTACTTCAAGCAGCCATTTCCCCATCACAGCTCCTTGTTAACGTCTGTGTCAGGGGGACTCTATCCTACCTATCTGACACCATACATACACTCTGACACAGGGGAGAGCTGATCAGAATGAATGTGCCGCAGACGAGCTGTCTCTTTGGCCATTCTCAATGCCCATGGGCTGCTTACTTTCTAAGCAGTCAGAAGCGTGTAGGATCTGCCCACGCTGTGCAAGGAGAGGCGAATCCAGCAAGTTTATCCATGTTCATAAACTCGAGTCAGGCTGCTGCCAGAAGGCTGCCTGTGCTCAGGAAAACAGCCACAGCTACTGCCCGCCTCAGCTGCAGAAGCTGCACCCGGATCATTCTCAAATGGCTAGCGGGTGGGGAAGTCATCAGCCCGAGTAGGGTTTTTAGCCATCTTTCAGTTCAATTGAAGAAGGAGCTTAAGGACATCATAAGGATTTGTAACATTCCATGCAAGGTGTCAGACCCATAAACTAGCTTGTCTGTCCTACTGGGCGCGCGTGGAATTGCCTCTTGTTGGCAGCAGACAGATTGAAGATGACCTTTTAGTGTGTAATTGTATTCATCATTTAATAATTCAAGAATACCTCAAAAGGAAAAAGACTTCTGGAACTAGATTCCTTCAAAAACGTTCATAGGAAACTAGAGCAAAACAGAAGCACTTCGTAACCAGCCTGCAGGGAGTGCTTTTAAATGCCTTGGATACAGCAAGTCTATCCCTGGACCAGAGGACGGGAGACCTGAAGTCCAGTCCTAGGTCGCTACTGAACTGTGTAGATTTGGAGCCGAGCTCTCTCTTTTTACAGGAAAGTACTGTGCTGCTTGCAAAGGTCTGTTTCAGCTCTAAAATTATGAATGCTCTTACTTAAGAATTTAAGAAAACATGAGGCATGTTTTCTTGACAGTCTTTGGACTCCGTCTTGTTACATATTATTTATTGCTCATATAGCCATCTCATTTATTAGAAGTTTTTTTATAGCCAGGAATAGACTCCCAGATCGATACATTTTTATTAATGATACTCTGTCATGCCTGGTACAGAGGTGGCAGGAGGGCTCATCTAGACTGAGCCACTTGAATAAACCTGACAGGGCTTAGCTCCGAGCTGTGCTCTGGCAGGCTGCTCCATAAAGTAATGACATTGGCAGAGGGGAGCCTATGGAAACCTTCCTCGCAGCCAGACTCGTAAAACCAAAGGGCAGGTTTGGGGCCTGTTTCACGGCCTCGGCTGTATATGCAAATCCTGTGACTTTTTGAGTATAGCATTTTATCTTCAAAAGGACAAAATTTGGCATTTGCCATGGTTATTAAAAATGATAAATGCCTAAAATACTTTAGCATTTGGGTTGTTGGAGGCTAGAACAAATATTGCTACAGTAGGAAACAGTATTTCAGAGCTGAAAACTTCAAATTAAAATGATCAAATCAGAAAATTAAAAATCTTCACAAGTTTCCTTTTAATCAGATGAAATTAGACATAATTGTCGCTCCTTGTTTAAAACAAAAAGATGTCTGGGTTAGGAGAAGTGGAAGACTTCTCCTAACTTCATTAGAGATAGATAGCCTTATACCCTGGAAAGAGTTAATGCCCATCCCCATGGCGCCTGCAGCCCCCACCCACCCCTGCCTCAGCAGAGCAGAGGATACAAGTTCACTGCTCGCTAACTCTTGCCTTCTTCCTCTTAAACTTCATCCCGCTGAGGGATAGAATTTGAAGCGTTCCTGGGTAATTTTAGACTATTTGACTATCCAGAAATTTCCCCTTGAGTTTCAATCTCAGAGATGCTAAGAGCAAATGTACCTTTCATCTTGTGTCTCTGTCTGTCTGCTCCTAGTGACCCTAGCCCTGACCTGAGGCCTGCTCTCTATAAGTGCCAAACATGATTCATTCTCCTTGCTTGGTTTAGTTTAGTTCCTTTAATGAGCCAAGATGACCAGCAAGACCCAATGGCTTATTTGTGCTAATGAAAGCGCGCTCTGCTAAGTTAAATTCTAACTCATTTATTTGGCTTTTACCTGGTGTTGACCCATCTCAGAGATGAAAAGTCTGTATTTTAGACAAAGACGTGGAAACAGTTCACGTAGACAGGAGCGTGCCGACTAAGGTGGAGCGAAGGATAGAGCCAGCTGCTAGGGAAGCGGGCACTGCAGTGCTGGTCCCATCATTTGCCTCTCGTGGCTTCTAGGAATCATCCCATCTCCAGGTTGATGGTTGCTTTTGTGCCTTGGGGTATGAACATTTTATCTCTTCTGCTTCAGATGCCTGCTTTCAAAGCCTGTCTTGAGGAGGCAGAGATACTTTTTTTTTAAACATGGGTTTCATTTGAATTCAGTCTGATTTTCCCCCAGGTCACAATGACAGAACTGGGCCATCAAGGACACTTAGATGGTGACAAGAGACTGACTGACGGTGAGTTTGCTCTCTCTGTAGCGGGGTGTGACACTTTCAGCACAGTCCGTTTGGTTTTGGGATGAGTCTGTCCGTGGGGTCTGACAAATGTGTCTTTATCCTGCTGAATGTATGCTTGCTTCCCTGTCAGAAAAGAAAGCATTAAGAACCGATAGCTCCTGCACAGTGGCGTGGTCCCTGATTATGGCCTTCCCTGGCTGTCCCATTTCCATCTAGCGACATTAAAAGCTGCCCCTTTGGAGGCTGGGTGCCCTGAATCACATCTGTTCACAGCAGTTTGGTCTAGCTCCTTTTATAGGTCAGTGACACCCTGAAGCTTGTTGTATACCTGTGTCACCACAAATCTTAAAAGATGCAATTTTCTTGGCAGCTCCATCCTCCAACGATGAATTGGAAGGTGTGTGTGAAGGACGTGGTCCTAATCTCAGTGTTGGGGCTGCGGGAGGTGGAGGCCTGTGTTTCACATAAGAAAACTATAACCCTAGAGCAGCCAAGGCTGCACAGAGAAACCCTATCTCAAAAAACAACAAAACAAAACAAAGGGGGAGAGAGACAGAGAAAGAGACACACACACACACACACAGAGAGAGAGAGAGAGAGAGAGAGAGAGAGAGAGACAGAGAGAGAGAGAGACAGAGAGAGACAGAGAGAGAGAGAGGGAGGGAGGGAGAGAGAGAGAGAGAAGAAAACTGTAGCCAAAGGACCACAAGGGAAGGGTTTGTGGAGTGCCCTTAGTCAGGAGATAGAATTTTGCCTTTTCTGGCCCTCAACTGGTCTCTGCCTGGAAATACCTGGTTCTGCTCTTTGAACTCCCCTTGTAACACCCCTCATCTACAGTTCAGCTTTACAGACTGACTCTCAGGGAGAAATGAAGTCACAACGTCAAAGAAGATTCTCTACAAGGCAAGCAAAAGCATAATCAAACTCTAGCCCTTCAGTTTGAGGAGCTTTTCTTGTGTTAGCTCTGTTATGCCAGATGGTTTCCTTTATTTAAAAAAAAATCCTAAGTGAATTCTGCATGGTCAGGTATTGCCATCTTTGCAGAGAATTTTCTTTGCCTAATGTCCTATCTGATGGGCCATTCTGTGTATTATATGCTACATAATCTCCACAAATGCATACTGTGGTTCATAAAACTGCCATACTGTTTTCAGAAACTAGTAATTCACAAAGTAAACCTGAGACAGTGCTGTTAATAAACACAAATTGCAAACAAGACGGTAGTGAGGGAACAATGCACTCATTTAGGAGTAATAAAGCCTTTGATCCTACTTTGAAGGAAAGAGTCTATGTTTAAACTGCCCATTCAGGGACAGCCAGATGCCCATAAAGAGCCTGCTTTGCTTTGATAGAAAATCACCGAGGCCTGTCTAGCAGGTCTGGTTTGTAAACAGATTAGTTAAGGGCTCATCAGGATTGATTTGCATAGGATTCAGTGAGCCCCAGTCACTTTTTCAAACTTAATGACCAATGCCAGTTTCAGATTGGAAAGAATGCCGTTTATTTACTTTTATTTGTTGGCTGGAAATCTTAGATAATTACCTTGTGGAAGGGGAAAGAATATGTATATAAAATAAAACCCTTGTGGTCCCGTCCACCCCCCAGCTAATGGGAAAATGATGAGGAAAGACTAATTTGACTCACTGTAAGCAGTGAGGGGAACAGGAGTTACACAAGGGTTACCTGGTTACACACAAGGGTTTTCTTCCGTTCCCATTGTTTGAGAAGGAAAGGGCGATTAATCTGAATTGTAATGGAAAAGGCAAACTACAGACTCAGACCACAAACATTTATACAAAAATGCTTGTTCTTGGAGTCGAGGCCAGGGACCCTGTGGTGCTAAATCCAGGCAAACCTCTGCTCTCTCCAGCGGACCTTCCCGGCATGCACAGCAGGAGTGGACTGGAGGAAGAGGGAATCTGACCAGCTGAAACACAGGTTCTGAAGCTTCTGTCAAGAGGCAGCAATTTCTTGAGGTAGCAAGGCCTGTATTTCTAGAATATATCGTACTGTTAGCCTCACTACTCTTTCCTCTTTCCTTGTTGTTTCTGAGGCAGGGTCTTCTACGTAGCCTGCGTGTTAATCCCAAAGATGTGTGGAGAAAGACTACCAACCCAAATCTTCATGGCCAAATTAATTAAGGCAAGGAATTAACTAAAGCAAGGTTGTTTTTGTGTACATGGAATGTCTTTCCCTAAAAGTGGGGTTCAAGAGATCAGCATTGTAAGAAAGACAAGGGAGGTTTTAATAGCTCTGAGGTAGGTGGGCAAAACAGTCTAGGTTAGAGGAGCAGAGCACAAGGATAAGTTACTCATCATGAGGTAGTCAGAGCAACCTTTTGAAACAAAGGGAGGGTTGAAAAAAGGTTACAATTACTTTTTGAAATGAAGACATAGTTGTCATTTCCTGGAACAGGCATTACAGAACCATTTGCAGTTAAGGTTACAGGAGGGGCATAGTCCAGTCCTTGAGAAACAGGTTTACTCATAACAGGAATGAACCTAGTTTATTTTTACTATAAGACAGCTTTTAAGCATAAAATGGAGTCAGGCTGGTTCATCACAGGCTATCCTTGAACTCAAAAATCTTTCTGCCTCTACCTTACAAGTACTGGGGTTACTGGTGTGTGTCACCTGTTTGTATTCTTGATTTTTAGAATTGATAATCTTCCCATCAGTAACTAAGAAAAATCTCCCCTTGAGTTTTGAAATTTAAAAAAAATCAAACTATATTTGTGTTCTATTATTAGTAACAATCACCCCTAGAGAAAAATGGGTCATGAGAATCTTGTCAAGGGAACACAGAAGAGGTCCTAGGCTGGGGAATAGCTTTGCAGTTCCTATGCCGATTTCTTCACTAACAATATATATATATTAATGGAGAGGTTTCCATAGATTGTTGTAGGCCTATTCCTGCTTCTTACAAATAAACTGCCCTTGTCTGGGATAAGCTCTCTAGGTGAGTACTTCCAAAAAAGTTGCAACTTACCTTCTTGGGAATCCCAATGCATGGCATCTCCCGCATCTTCACCACAGGCAATCATGAGGCAGATAGGAGCTCCCGTAGTGCAGGGACAATGGTCTTGTTACCTCAAGTCTGTATTTGGAAAATTTTTGTTTCACATTTTCCTTTTGTATCACTAGGAAAAAGAGCCAGAGCCAAAGTGGCCATGAGTTGATGGCCCTGGAGATGGCGTGGGTAGATGGAATGATGAGGCAGCTTGACCCACTCTTCAGAAGTGTGAGGGCTACCAGCTCTAAGGAAGCCTCACCCCTGTCTTTGGAAGTGGCCCTGGAGTTACAAATAAGGCTGCTGCTGTTAAAGGTCCCTCCAAGTATCCAGTTACTGGGCAAGGCTGGTAGTGTGGTCTCTGGCCTATGGTGGGTGTTTAGTAAGTGTCTCGCTGTCATGTGACTGCTGCATCTGAATGCTACCAGGTGGACTCTGCCTAGAGTCGTGGCCTGGCATGCTGCTGCTCTGGCCCAGCTCAAGAACAGAGTTCCTCAGTGACAGGACGAAGAAGCTTTGCTTCATCTTGTCTTCTGAAGTTAATATACATGAATACTTATGAGAGATCAGTTCAGTGGTTCTCAACCCAGGAGCTAAATGACCCTTTTCACAGACGGTCACCTAAGGCCAGTGGAAACACAGATATTGGTGTTATGATTCATACCAGTAGAAAATCATAGTTATGAAGTAGCAATGAATATAATTATATTTTACAGTTGCGGGTCATTGCAACATGAGGAGCTGTATTAAAAGGCGGCAGCATTAGGAATGTTGAGAACCACCGGATTGGGTGTTAGAGAGATTCTTTGATGGGCAGATGGACAAGAAGAGGGGCCTTGGCTAGGTAATAAAGATGGAAGCTTTTTCCTCAGCTTCTTGACTGGAGACGAAAAGCCTGGCTGGCAGCTTTTGTCTCCCACCAGAGGGCCACTGCTCTCAGACTGGCTCAACAAATTCGAGGCTTGATCAGGACTTGTCACTCAGCAGTTCTAGGCCAATCAGCCATCTTATCTGTCTTCAACATGAGCAACCCTAAAAATGGGGGGGCGTGGCGGGGAGAGACTGTTCAAGACTTTAAAACCAGCCAGCCAGTGAGAAGAGACTGGGTTTTTGTTGTTTTGTTTTGTTTTGGCTTCCCAATGACCCCCTCTGCTTCCCGAGGGTAACTTTCTCTGTGTCAGCTGATATGTGTTTCCTCACTCCCAGCAAACCTTTCTTACCTACTGGTTCTCTCTGAGATTTTGTTGCTGCTACACGTTGCACTTCAGATTTCTCCTGCCTTTTAGTTATTTCACTGGCAAAGAAAATGAACCCAATCAAGACTGTGTCATTTCTAAACTTTATCAGCTGTATGAATGGACAGGAATCTCGGTGACCTCCATAGACACAGGAACTTTTGACAAAATCCAGCATCCCTCCATGATAACAGTCTTGGAGAAATGTTGAATAGAAGGGGCATATCTCAGCATCACAGAGGCTATATACAGCGGGCCTGTAGCCTACATTCTACTAAAGGCAGAGGAACAAAGGAGTGATGGCAAGTTGTGGCCCACGGGGCACTCAGAAGAATACACGGATTGCGTGGCACAGGTCAGCCTCGTAGTGAATGCTCTGGGAGAGAGGGGAGCTTTTATTATGAGTGGTTGCCAACCAGGGTGTGGTGAAGCCTGATTTTCCCTCAAGTGTCCTACGAAGACAAGCACCAGGGTAGTGGGAGAGTAAAAAATGACCCTCTAGGCCTGGGGTCTTCCAGTTCACTTCCTTCTGTCCCAAGTAGTTGCTAAAGTCATTTACAGTTGGGAAAGCTGTGATCAACCCACTTGAAGCAATAAAAGGCATTGGGTGGGGCTGGGGGGGGCTCCTAATGTATCACAGGCAGTAAATTCTAGCAAATTACACTACACTAAAAAAGCCATCGCAGAGAGCTTAACCTAGAAGATATCATGGACACAAAACATTTGTTATTATTTCTCCCTTAGGATGACCAAGCTTTAGTGTTTTAGATGATACTTTGGATTTCTTCAAGTCAGACCGAGGGTTGGTCTTGCTGTTTGCAGCACTATGCCCTTTGTCTTTTATTCCCCAGCTACTGTTACCTCTGCCCCACGGGGGCTCTTGGTGGTGGTGAGGGGGAGTAATGCCCTGCAGTTAGAATGGGAAAATATTTGCAAGGAAAATGGTTGTTACCATTTGCATTCAGTTGCTCATCAAGAGTCAGCCTCCTCATTTGAATGCACCAGGGACTTTAAGGAGAGGTTTCAGGGGAAAGCAGCTTGCTGGAAACTGCATATCAGGATGCTCACACCTGGATTTAGAATGGTCACCAGGCTCCACCGATTCACCCACCAGCAACTGAAACCTAGCATTTTCTTCTGAGAGCCACAGAAATTAGTCCAAACCACTCTTTTTTTTGGGGGGGTAGTGCCATTTTTAATACCCTTGTTGATACCTGAGGATATATTTATTTAAACACCTAAAGAAAAAGACAAAAGATTGCCTTAAGAATTCCAGGTTCCTTAACCTTCAGAAGTCTGATCAGGTCGATTTGAGTATCTGCCTCTATTGCCTTTCTAATGCTGTAGGACGGGAAAAGCTTGGCAACATCACTTTATTTTACCTCTTTGCTGTCTCCTTTTTGGACAGATTATTAATTTTCTCTCATTGCATTGGATTTTTGTTGTTGTTGATGTTTTATTTGTTGTTTTCTCTTTCCAGATGAACATCAGGGTTGCTTATATGTCAACAAACCTCTTGCTCATGAATCTGGGGACAAGTGGAGTGGCATCACCTAGGAGCATGCTGGTTCAGAGTCTTCCATACAGCCCAGTCCCCAAAAGGTTCCTGTTTCCTTGGAAGCTCAGCCTCAGGCCCCCTCCTCCCCCAGAAAGCTGGCCAAGTAGAGGCTCCTCCCCTGGAGCTGCTCAAAACTGTGTCTACAGAGAATTTAAGCTCGAGTCCCTAGACCAGCCATACGATTTCTCCTCCTTCCTGCCCTCACCCCCCCCCCCGTCTCATCTCTGGGGGGCTTGAGAGTCACCCAGCAGTGCTTGGCTCATTAAACCTGGACTTTTAGTTTAATTTGATCTGGTTCATTCCTCAGCAGAGAAACCCGCTACCGGGAACCCAAAAATACTTATCATCCCCTTAGGGGTGGGTGCTGAAGACAGCTGGCTTCTGACCACGTTCAGCTAGTGTTGTATGTAGCGATCAGTTTTAGGGACTTGGCAGGCTTCTCTTTGGAAGGATGTACTTGAGTGGTAAGGGGAACCAAACAAAAATCAGAAACTTAAAGATGCAGAAATTTGCTGATGGGCTAAACAAGGACCTGAACAGGACTCAGAAAGTAAGACTTGAGGCAGCTCTAGGGATTGGCTGTCTTCTGTATCTATTTTTTCTCCCCGGGTCTGCCCCACTCTCCTCCTGTCGCAGTTACTTTTTAGTACTGTGATAAGACACCATGACCTAAAGCAACTTGAGGAGGAAAGCGTTTACTTGGTTTACAGGTTACAGTCCATCACCAGGGGAAGCCAAAACAGGAAGTCCAGGCAGGAAGTGTAGCAGAGACCATGGAGAATCACGGCTTACTGGTTTGCTCCCCCTTTCTTAGACAACTCACTATCCCCTTTCCAGGGATGGCACTGCCCGTAGTGTGCTGGATCTTCACACATTAATCACAGATCTAGAACATGCTCCCGTAGACTTGCCTATAATCCAGCCTGACGGAGGCTATTCCTCGGATGATGGTCCCTCTTTCCAGGTGACCCTAGCTTGTGTCAAGTTAACACCAACAAACCAACAGCCAGCATGCTCTCCTCTGACTGTGACCCCAGGGCTCCTGCTACCTTGTAGCTGTGGCTATGGCCCTTGCCACCACTTTCTCCATCATCATTTCCTTGTGGCTTCAGCCCACATCGACGTCTGACTTCCTTGCTATTTCTCAAACCAAATTCTCAAGATCAGGGATCTGGGTTACACAATCCACATCCTCCCATTCCACCACAGGCCAGCTCAGGACCAGACTCAAGATTTGCTGAGTGATATGCAAATGAGCTGGACAATGACCATCACCCATCAAGAAGGAGGTAGAGAACCCAAGTGGAGGGCAAGCACCCATAGATGTAAGCACGGCTTATAGGAAACCTCAGGGGAAACCCAGCACCACGTGGAAGAGAGCTCTTGTCTGGCTCTTCAGTTTGGGCCAAGGGAATTGAAAGGTTTGTAAATTTGTTTGCTACCAGATCTGTGATAGGGGAGGAAAGAGAGAAAGGTGAATGAAACATTTATTATTGTTGTTGTGACTATTACTATTATTGTTTTGAAATAATGTCTTGCTACATAGCCCAGGATAGACTTGAACTCAGATTCCTCCTGCTTCAGTCTCCCCAGGACTTGGATTAAAGCACGTGTCACCATGCCCAGCCCCTGAACAGCTAGTTCATCTTAGGAATTTTTAAGACACAGACATACCTGTGGAGAGAAAGTCTAACTGGTGGAAATCTGCATTGCTATCTATAAGACACTGGACCTCTGTTGTAACTCCTTACAGCACTGTGTAGCACAGCTAAGTTTATGAAGCCTCGAAGAAACTGTTTAAAAGTTATCAGTTAGGGTCATCTTGATGGCTCAGTGAGTAAAGATGCTTGAGGCCAAGTCTGACAGCCTGAGCTGGATCCCCTGGGCTCGAGAATAAGAGAATTGACTTGGGGGAAGTTGTGCTGGACTTGCACACACACACACACACACACACACACACGTTTCAAAATTACCAAAAGATTTTAAATTCTTAAGAATTTCAAGGATTCAAACATTTCTAGAAGGTTACGGACCCCAGGACACACCATAACGGAAACCCGAGCCTGTCCTTCCAGGCTCTTCCTACAGCTTGCTGCATGGCTGAAGGTGAGTGAGCATGGTTTTCAGCATCACCCCCTCCCGCTTCGTTGTTTCCTCCTGTCTTTCCCCTTGTGACCCAGTGGCCTCTCCTGGAGAGGGTGGGTCCCCAGCCCTGCACTCATAGGCTGCCCGTGGCTGGCCATCCTCTTGTTTCTCTTTCTGCAGTCTCCCTCTTGACTTCCTTTGCCATCTGCCCAGCTTTCCCATCCCACCTAGGATCTCCTCCAGTCTCCGTCTGCCAAAACCCTCCCCAATCCAGTTACGTCTCTGGCTTCCCCGAAGTGGTTTGGGCCTGGTACTGATTCTTAGTGCAACTGCAACTCTTGTACTGTTTCCTTCTTTTCCTCCCTGTGATTCCATTCTTCTACCATTAGGTTGGAATCACCTGAGAATGAAAATGGTAGCAACATAGAGAGAAGGGTGAAGCAAAATACCTGGGCCCAGATTTCTGCTAAAGTTCATATGACCATTGGGCCAAAGTCATTTACCTCTTTCAGCCTTGGTTTCTAGATCTATAAAGCAAGAAAGGGATCCTGTAGACCTCAAGGGCTTGTGAGGAGGCTCAACCAGGTCCATAGATCTAAAGTGCTCTGTGACCCAGTAGATGTTCTGGTGATTGCTGGCAATGCTTGCTCGAAGGCCACTGGACAGGACAGGGCTGGAGGCTCCAGACTCAGCCAACTGTATTACTGGTCCCCATCCATCAAGGCTTTTGTAAGAGCTGCTAATGAGCAAGAAGATGACTGAGAACTTTTGCATCATGCCTCTCCCAAGCTACCTTCTGAAGGAAGTACTAAGGAGCAGTGAAATGGCCAAAAGGTGATCAGCGGAGGTGGGGGGGTGTGTGTGTGTGTGAATGGAACTGGGCTAGCCCTAACTAGGCAGTCAGCTCTGGAAGAGGAGACCTAATTGGTAGGGAGTCCTGTGCCCAGTGCCTGCTCCATTTGGTACCAGAAAGAAGGGAAAGTCTTTGCGGGGTCTTCAGCCTTGTATCTGGCTCCTGGGAAGCTATGGAAAGGAGTCTATAGCCTTTGCCACACCTGTTCTCACCCATTCTACTAGCTGCTCTTGCTCTTGAGAAGTTTTTAACTGATCGCCTTGACAGAAATACTAAGCCACAGAATGTTCCTGGCAATTGACAACCTGGGAGTGCCATCAGCCACAGACTGACTCAAAGTCTTCCGTCCTAAGCTAGTGACCAGACCTGGCTGGCCCAGGATGGGCATGCCAGGGATGCTGATTCCTCCCAAACTACAAGGATGCTGGAGACACTGCCTGGCTTGTGAGAGGAGCAGAAGCAGACGCTTACAAACCTTCCTTCACCAGTGCCGTGCTGCCTGGTGAACCCCAGGGAACACTAGCTATTGTTGCCAGCAACCTGTCCCCAGGGGCAGAGATCAGCCTCTCTCAAGCTGTCCCCAGGGGCAGAGATCAGCCTCTCTCAAGCCTGGATGCACTTGAGGCGCACCTGCTGCCGTCCTTATAAAGTGGTTGTGTGATGTTTAAAGGAGTCCTTTCTCAGTACTTAGAGCCACACAGTTTGCAAATAACAGTCTATCAAATTAATATAGGCCTAATAAAAATTCAGTGCAAGCTGAAGTGACAGTCTGAAATACTCCATGCATCTGTCTTTACTTTGCTGTGATTCCACTAACATAAAAGCAGAGAGTATCCTTTGCGAGGAAAGGATGCTTGATTAAGGGGGCATCGAACAGGGCAGAATAGGATGTGACATGCTTTGGGAAAGCCATGAACTGAGCCTGATGCCAACGGAGCTTCAGCTGACACTAGCTGCCATGTCACTGGAGGCAGACAGCTTGTGGCCACACACTGCAAGCTCGGAAGAAGGCAGCTTTTTAAATATCAAGAAACTTCTTCTAAAGAGTAGCTGTTATATTGATTTAAGTCGGGATATTTATAATACCAAATTTAAAGGAAAACTAAGATCTTAATGTTTCCCCCAAAGATCAGGTAGGAAAAGGTAGTCATGAACTTTGAGGTGGGAGAAAAAGGTGTGCTTAGAAGTTTGTACAAATGTCCAAGCCTGAATTTACTGTCGTCTGTCAGAAGCTCTCAACTTTGAATCATGTTTCTTGATGTTGTACTTAGAGCATGTCAGTGGGGTCCCCAAGGGGAGGGGTTTGATGAGGATACTCCACTTAGGACTGAGTGCTCTAAGGTTCCTCACTCTCTGCGTGTTATTCTAGTTATGGGTCTCTACGTTAGTTCCTATCTACTGCAAAAGGAAGCTTCTCTAACGATGGCTGAGTAAGGCACTGGTCCGAGTCCCAGCCTGGCTGTCAGGCCTACATACTCCTGGTTCTGTGAAAGCTTTTTGGTACCCATGAGTCAAGCAGGTGCCCAAATGTCACTAACTCACATGGGCATTATGGTGCAGAAAACCCAGTGCATCTGATACACCATTAGGCAGCAAAAGCCCACAAAGCTCTGTCCTTCAACAGCCCACAATGCCCTACCCTCCAAGAAGCAGGACAGAGGCATTGACAGGCTGCCTTAACTCCTGCCAGGACCCGGTTCTGTTCATCGGAGCCCTGTGGAGGGAAACACTGTTAGAGAATGCCATCCTAGCCTCTCTCCTCCAACTCTTAAACCAGCTCAAATAGAAAAATAATAACCGTGATAGGCTTGACCTTTGAAAAAGAAATATTAGGTCCTTTTTCTAGCTGAGAAATTCAATGCTAGCAACGAGATTATGTGAGTCCTTGACAGAAGGCTAGTAGCTACAGCCCTTGCCAGAAAGAGTGAGGGAAGAGCAAGAGGCAGATTAAAATATTAATCACAATTATTTATGTTAAATTTGAATATTTAAAGGCATTGATAAATGCTGGTATTAATTATTAACATCAGTAGCTTTGCTTTCCAGAGTATCCTGGGGCTTTGGTGTGTGGAACTGTAGATCATATTTTTCTTTTCCCTGGTGTTGGAATTACATCAGGTATGACCCACTATGGGCTTTCATCCCTCAAGGAGGAAGAAGCTGAGTAGCCTGCCTTCTGAGAAGTTTCAGGAATATCTTGAGCCTCATTTGCCAGGTTGATTTTGAACCAGTAATTCGGGCTCTAGGTGGCTAAAACATGGGAGATATAATCTACCACCATCTGTCCCAGGCAGCCCCGCTTGCCTGCAGTAGTACCTGGTGATTCTATTGAGAGTCAAAGGAAGAA